TTCCATGCTACCTGTCATTTCACTGGTGGATCTATAGTGTTGCTTGCTCTATGATTTGGATGGCAGAACTAACATTTGTTTTTCCTTTTTTTTTTTTTAAATGCTTTTTAGTCAATGGGTGAATACGCTGAAAAAAGTGAAACAGGTGAGATGAGACTCATTTAGTGATTTGTAAAATGTGAATGCCTACCTACAGCAAGATCAATCTAAAATCATGCTAGCTGCTCTTTTAGCTAAATGCTTATTAACGTATAGTCGTCCGTCTATCAGTAAATGTTATCCTTTCAAATCTCGAAAGAAAACTCAATTAAAAAAAATATTTTCCACAGAGTGTCACATCACCTCTCAGTCCTTGTAAAAGACATCAGGTGAATCCTCCACACATCACCCTCAAAGACCTGGTGCCTGAGCAAATCCTGGAAAAAGATCCACCAACACCACCGGTTATTGACACAGAGGCCCCCTCCCCAGGGCCCACAACATGTGCCTCCCCCAGGGATAAAGGTGAGTATGCTTGTTTTCCTCTTACTTTTTTTTTCTTATAATTATCAGGTTTAACCATGCAAGATGGATATTTGATCTCCAATCCAATCCAATCCAACTTTATTTGTTAAGCACTTTAAAACAACCACAGTTGACCAAAGTGCTGTACAGAAGAATAAATAAAACACGTAACAGCTCACATGAGATAAAAGAAAACTACATGTGAAATACAGAATCAAGTTAAAAGACATAAAAATGAATAGGCACGCAAAAAAGAAATAAAAGAAATAAAGAAATAAGTCGACGTCTTAGCGTGTGTCAAAGGCCAGGGAAAAGAGATGGGTCTTAAGAAGAGATTTAAAAACAGGCAGAGAAGAGGCCTGTTTAACGTGCTGAGGTATATCGTTCCATAATTGTGGAGCCGCAACAGCAAACGCACGGTCCCCTCTGAGCTTCCGCTTGGTTTTAGGCACCCTCAGGAGCAGCTCAGAGCAGATCTGTAAGAAGTAACGCGTTCATCAGGTTTTTGTATGACTTCTGTTTAAAACAACAAACATTTTCTTGGTGAGCTGCAGGTGTGAAGACAGATTTTCAGCACAACAGTGTCTGATTTTTTTCCAAACCTGCCCCCTGGTAAATGACCACAAGGGGTCAAAAAGTAATTCAATTCAAATCAATTCAAACAACTTTATTAATCACTCTTGGACAAATTGGTTCTTGAGCAGCTTGTATATATAAAAAAAAAGATAAACACATTGACGTACAGACAAAGAATTATACAAAAGAGCTAAAAATATGAAATAGAGATTTAAAAGGAGACACCAAATTTAAACAGACCGATTAATAGACAACCAGACTGAGTAAAAACAATAAAAGGTTCAGTCATAGAAGGATTAAAAAATAAAAGATCAGTAGTAGTAAAAAGATAAAAGTCAGTAAAAATGTAAAACCTAAGGTGCATTTAGTAATCTGACTGCACAGAGGATGAACGGTTTAGAATAACGGTTAGTTTTCAGTCAACATAACGACTTCCTGATGGCAACAGAGAAAATGTCCAGAAGAAGTTAAAATACTTTCAGCCTTCTTGAGGATCTGATGGTTACAAAAGGAATGCAAGTGTCTTGGTTGTCAGGCTGATAATCTTAGAACAGGTTTTAACAATACTATTTAGATTGTTTCTGGTTTTAGATCATCAAGAGGTTTTTCCACTGATCTTTAATACTGTGATTACGTCCAATTACACGTAGCATTGATATAAAAGCAAAGACTGCCATCTTATCATCAGACTTTGTTATTCTTCCACCGTCTGGGAAAATCTGTTATCCAATTGGATATGTTGTAGTCAAAACACATTTCCCCCGTGACCTTCTCAAGCCATGTCTTGCCTCCTGAAACATCCTCATCATTGATGGGCATGTGTGAAAGGGCAACTCAGAAAGATGTCAGGGAAAGGCTATGCTAAAAATGTGTATATGTTTATGGTAGTGCATGTGTATAAAAGGGTGACAAAAAACATGTTTATTTCCTTCCTAACAGGCAGGAATTCACCTCGTTCAAAGAATTACAAAGGAGGTGTGCACTCTGTCGGGTGTCTGCGTCATGGCACCATCAGCAACGCCCAAACAGCGAAGGCGGTGTATCTGCTGATGGGAGGGGCTGCTGCTTCCTCCGCTATGGGGTACCTTGGCACATGCGCGCTCACTAATCTTGAAGCCAAAGGTCCTGACATGCCGCTCAACACGGATTTCTCTGGCATGGGACAGGCAGGAGCGTACCATACCTGCGGCCCCACACTCGACTCCCCTCACTATAACAGCTTTGACTTTGAGGTGGGAGACTCCGATTTTGATACTTTTGATTGTGGTGCATTTACCTTCTAATGATGTACAGTACTACAGGTCGAGGTTATGGATCAGGTCAGCTGTAATGATGCAATAAATACTATATAAATAAATCAGGTTCTGTAAAGGTAAGTCATAACTGTAAAACAGGTTTTATTTTTATTTGTGGAAACCAGTAATACTGACCGGTACTCTTTTTTTTAAGTACAAAATTGTTATTTACATATGCAGCAGTAATGAAGCAACATTAACTTTCCTTTGGAGTTGTGTTAGTGGTCAATGTCGCTGTCTTTTAGCTTTGTTTTTGGTCTCCACCAACCCCTAAGGGTACTAATGTGGCTCCTTTGGATTGTAAATGTTCTGCGATGTTCACCAGCTAGTCGCTAACTTTGTCTGATGTTAGGTGCTCGTGTGCGTAACGCTTAAATCTGTTCCTCCAACCAAGCTTTGTGACATGTTGAATATTTAACATGTTTTGAATTATTACTGTGATTGTATGAAGTATTTAAAAAAAAAACATTTTGTGCTTATGTCCACCCCTTGTATGTGCATTATTTGTCACCAAAATGACACTATATATACCATCAGTGATTGTGACTGTGATACAAATACATGTTCAAAATGATACAAGCCGGCATTATTCATAAATGTTCATTACTAATCCATGGATTATCTTTGGGCATTTGCAATCCGATAAACATATACACCATGTCTGTACCTTTGTTGGAGTTGTGCATGTTTTAAACAAGGTGAAGAGATTCATATCTGTATCAAACTTTCATTTAACCACTGGAAGTGAAAAAAAAAAAAACTTCAAAGGGCTCTTCTGACTCTCTGCATCCTCATCTTTTGTGCATATTTTGTGTTTCTGTTATAACTGCAATTTTATATCTATGTTGGGTTAAAAGCAAAATTCTATATTACATCCATTTCAGGCTATTTTACTTGTACGAATAAAATAGACATGCGAAAATGAATCTTAGTCTCACTTGCTCTTCTTTATGCTTCTCACATACTATTACATTTATAAACCAAAGTCTCTTTTTGAGAACTTTACATTATAGGAATAGTTATAGAAGTCTTACATTAAATGTGTAGGGTCGCCTATTTTGTTGTTTGATAGGTCTATTTATCTTTTGTTTAACATTAAACACACAAATATAAGAAACTGAGATTCTTCAATGTTAGTACTCAAAGTAGTTATAATCAAATTTTGCTGAGGCCACAAAAGCCGTGGAAGGGCTAAAGCAATAGTATAGGCCTATTTTACATGTTAAGTGTGTTCCCCTCTTGCTACATCACAAGATGAACTTAAAAAGTCAGCAGCCTATATGTTGTAAATGTCCTAATATTTTCACTTTGTGACATATTATGATGGAAATATCAAAACAGAAAAGGTTTCACTAATGTTTTTAATTCTCGTTTTGATACAAGCCAACTTACTTTACGTTGCCTTTTCCTTGATTAGGGGCTGCCATTATAAAAAGTTTCCTTGTGAAGTTAGATTGGACGGATGCATTTCATAGAAGTTTGACCAGGAGGTTTTTACATTTTTAAGCGCACACGCCGCTGGCCATGTACAAGAACTCATTTATTCAGTCTGGCTTTTATATAGTGTTTTATATCAATTCAAATTGTAACATTACTGTATTGTCTTTTTTATCCTAGGACAATTTTAAATATTTTCCTCTTATGTATTTATTTTAATATCTTGTTGCTTTTATGTGTCATATTTTATTTTATTTTATTTTTATACATATTTTTTAATTCTTATTGGTGTGCATTAGTCTCTCAATGATTTTATAAACTACTTATTGTCAACAACTTCTCTGCACTCTTGTTCCCAGCTAGTTTGTTCCCAAATCGCTTCCCATAGGCCTACTGTTTGATTTTTTTTTAATCCATATCAATGCATCAGGTCTGAAAGCAGATCAGATGTTACATGCTAAATTTCAATCCAAATGAATTAATAACAACCTAAGGTAATATGTGAAGGAAGCAGGGTTAAAGAACAGTATTTGTTTACCTTAAGATGTGAAGTTGAGTTTCAAAGCAACATCAAATACAACAAGGTAGTTTTTTTGAGTCCTGACTTAAAACTTTATTTTGAAGAGAGAAACAAAAAGCGTCTTTATGTCTTCTTTTGGGGCAAACATGAGGAGTCTATAATGCATTTATATAATATTATGCATTTCTATAAATCACACTTTGACAGTTGAAATTAGTTGCTACATTCCATATATATATATATATATATATATATACATATGCTATAATATAAAAAATCTTGCTTTGTTTTGGATAAAAAAAGCTTAAATATTAAAGTTAAATCAATAAGCACAACCTTTACAGACATCACATTGAAACACTTATTACATGTTTATTAATCTTTAATAAGTAAGTCATTTAATTTTTGATTTGTAAAGGTGCTATATAAATAAAGTGTGATTGATTGATTGAAGAACAGTGAGGGAAAAAAAGCAACATCAAAAAACAGATGCACGCAAAAAAAAAAATGCACGAATTCTTGCATCTGTTTAGTCCTGCAGGAAACATCTTCTCACCTGTCCGCATAAGTGCGCCTTTGCAGAAACAGCAGAGGGGGGGGGGGGGGGGATGTGGTTACTTATCTGCACTGTCACAGCAGCACTCACTCCCCTGGCACCGCCGTAGCCACGCCTGGTTTGCTTCAGTGTGGTGGGGAAGTGATAGCAGCAGTTGTAGGAGCAGCAGTGGTAGCAGGGCCCTCCCTCTGTCTCTGCAGATAAATACTCGCAGCCTGTCGATTCCAGGCATGGATGACGGTTGCATTCAGACATGGCACTACGACATTACACCCTCGACTTCAGCCTCTCTACGGCAGGTAAAAAAATGAGCTGCGACAAGCGGAGGAATACAACCTTTGCATTCAGGTTACAGTTCCTGCATCAGGGCTGCATGCTAGCTTAGCTGGCTAGCCTGCTAACATCAACCTGCTAGTTTGTCACTGCCCTTCAAAACAGTAACGCTATATCGATTTGGATGAAACATGCCTGAAAGTGGCATATATATATATAAATATATGCTCGTTTTTTTTTGACAAGTGGGTGCGTAAAGAGCAAAGTTATCGTACGTAAAATGTTTGGTTTGAATGTCATTTGCATAGTGGTGTGCTTTGAGACATTACACTTCTTTTTTTTTTTTTTTTTAACTTGTCTGTTCAGTTGTAGCTTTGCAGAGCGGTTCAAAACCCTCTCTGGCTTTCAATGCGAACACAGTTACGCTCGTTGCAGCTTCGTCGCATAAGTAGTGACGCGTAGACCGCCATTTTTGTAGTTTTAGGTATTTAAATCAAATAAATAAGTAATAAGAAGAAATAATAAAATACTTGTGGTTGGTATGGTTAACCAGCATCTGCTTGGCTAGACTAGTGTTAAAGTGGGTGATAATTGATTAAAAAAAATACACCAAAAATAAATTCTAAAATACAAACATTTATATTGGTCCTGAAAAATGTTAATATCACAATTAAAAAATAAACATTTTGTTCAAAAGCTATGTGTTTATTTTTTTTATTACAAGTGGTAAAATCGCTTCCCATAGGCCTACTGTTTGATTTTTTTTTAATCCATATCAATGCATCAGGTCTGAAAGCAGATCAGATGTTACATGCTAAATTTCAATCCAAATGAATTAATAACAACCTAAGGTAATATGTGAAGGAAGCAGGGTTAAAGAACAGTATTTGTTTACCTTAAGATGTGAAGTTGAGTTTCAAAGCAACATCAAATACAACAAGGTAGTTTTTTTGAAACTTTATTTTGAAGAGAGAAACAAAAAGCATCTTTATGTCTTCTTTTGGGGCAAAAATGAGGTGTCTATAATGCATTTATATAATATTATGCATTTCTATAAATCACACTTTGACAGTTGAAATTAGTTGTTAACATTCCATATGATTGATATATATATATATATATATTATATCTAAATGCTATAATATAAAAAATCTTGCTTTGGTTTGGATAAAAAAGCCTAAATATGAAAGTTAAATTTATAAGTACAACCTTCACAGACATCACATTGAAAGACTTATTATATGTTTATTAATCTTTAATAAGTAAGTCATCATCCAGCAGCATAAAATATAGTGATTTGACACTGTCAGGGGTTCTACCTGCATATCAGTGCTTTACCTCAATACTGAAATAAAAAACTGTTTGATTATAATACACTTGGCAATAACTGAATGATTTGTTTTACACCTATTGCAGAAAAATCATTTTTTTGTTCTCCATTGTTTCATTCCTTTATCTTTTCCCAGTTGACTCTGCCTCGACAGTCCCTGGTCTACTGTCCATATTTCACGAGCAGGAAATGACAGAGACTGTCCACGACACAGATGGGCATGGATATCTCGCTACATTTGTAGGAAAGAATGGCCGGTAAGACATTTTTGCTTGTCACAAAGAAGCTTCAATTCTTTCTATTGTGTTTTTTTGTAGAGATGTAAGATTCCAAAAAAAAACAGTTGAACAAAAGATGTTATATTTCTACAACACACTAAAATACTGATTAGATTAAATTTCACCCCGGTGGAACCTAAAGTTGTTGTTTTTGAATATTTAAAAACTAGGGTGCTTTGAGTTAGCATGCCCTCAGCTGATGAAACATTACTTAGGAATTAGAGATGTACATCAGAGGGAACCTTATTTGACATTGAAACATTGAAACTTTTGTTTGAATAATTAGTATTTCTGAGTTTAATTTGTTCATAAATCATAGTGAGCAGACAAACCAAGTTTACCTTCCTCCTGAATTTAAATGGGTGCAATTCTTATTTATGAAATTAGTAATAACCAACCAGCTTCCTCAGATCGCATAACTGAAGTGACTACCTGGTAATCAAGTAGTTAACTGCATTCATGAACTGTTGTGCAGATGGGTAAATCATTAAGCAAAAAAAAACATTTATAAATGGCAAAGCTGGCACACTGATTCTAATACATTGACTCAGAATCAAACTGTCCTCCAAAGCAAACTTGGAGCTAATCTGGTTTGGGTAATCCAAATCTGGTCCAAGTAATTCAGATCCCGTTCTGTTCATTTTATCCTACTTAAATGCCATGACAACTTTGTTATAAAGAAAATGTAGACAGCCGCAATGCTACGGTCTACAAAAAGGAAAAACATGACTTGTTTTATAAGATGAAGATGGACTCAGATGGACTGTTGAGTGAAAACAGACCAAAGAGAAAATGTTAAAGCACTACCCTGAAACCAGCTGTTATTTTTAGCTGTAGTTCAAGACAGTTTGGATTCCAGTAGTAGAAAAAAAAGATCTACATAAACTACTCTTGCAGTATGCTTTCTGTCTTAATGCTTAATTCATATCCAACAGTACAATACCCCTTGTCTTATATGGGGTAGATTTTGGTATAGGAGTGGTGAAGTGGATGTAGAGATGCTTTACTTAAAACTCTGCAGAGAGGAATCATCAAAGTTTTTACACTTTTTAAGTCAATAAATGTAGATTTTTTTTTTAAAGTTCTGCTCCCGTTCTGTAAAGTTACATGTTCACCTCACTTTATTGCTTTGTGTTAATTTCTTCTTTTTTTTTGTCACTTTATGTCACAGGTTTGCTGTTCTGCGTGTGCACTCCCACGAGTTGGTCACCATTGATCTGCAGTGTTATGAAGAGGATAACATTGCGCAACTAGACAATGTAGGTGATTTTAAAAAGACACACACCACACTTTATCTGTTACCTTGAAGCCGAAACACACAGAGAGTCCCACAGTGCAGCATTTCATGTGATGTTACTGACTTTATACTTCTTTAGGGACATAAATCAAATTTACTAGCCCTCATGAAATATAATTGTCCTACTTTTAGGTGAACACTGTTATTTACGTGATTCCTGGAGGCATAAAAATCTGTGCCAAATAGCATGATGATAGCGGTGCTTTAAATAGCGTTTGGATATGTGACAGACACATAAGAGGAGGGCAAGGGGCCATTATTGTTGCCTGAACATGCCCATGGTCCCATACACATGTTTATATAGAAATTCAGTAGGACTACAAGGCGATACAAGCAGAGTGAAGTGTACTAGTTTGGTTGCTGTTATGTTCACTTCCTCGGCCTCTGTGTGTTGGTATGAGAGGAAATGATCTCATGCTTTGTGTTTGAAATGTTTCTCAACAGCTTTTAAATGCACTGGAAAAGAAGCTGAAGGTTCTCTTAAATGGCAATATTACACGGATTAAAAGGTAGGTGTTTGGAGGTTCAAGCTTTTACTCACTTTGTAGTGAGAGAACTGTTTAATGTCACTTAGCAGTTCTTTTGATCCTCCTGTTTTTGTTATCCAATATTCATCCGCAGGCTCCCAGCCCTCATACGTGGAGCTAAGGTGGACCGATACTGGCCCACAGCTGACGGCAGACTGATGGAGTATGACATTGACCGAGTGGTTTATGAAGAGGATTCTGCTTACCAAAACATAAAGATATTGCACTCAAAGCAGTTTGGGAATATCCTTGTACTCAACGGTGATGTCAGTAAGTGAACACAACGCTACAGCCCATAGCATGTTTTTCATTCCAAGAGACCGGACACAGTCCCATTTGAAGTAACTTGTTGTAAGTGGGTTCATTGACATGGTAACGTTGACAGAATATGTGGTAATGTACTAGATATTGTCCTATTTTGCAGGATTACATTATATGTATATTTATGTATATATTTATTCATGTACAGTCACACACACACACACACACACACTTATTTATTTCTAAAATGATTGTCTTACCTGCAGACCTGGCAGAGAGTGATTCGCCCTACACCCAAGCCATCATAGGTAGTGGAAAAGAGAATTATGCCGGAAAGGAGGTTCTTATACTGGGAGGAGGTGACGGAGGCATCCTGGCTGAGGTGGTCAAACAAAAACCAAAGATGATCACCATGTTGGAAATATCCTTCACAGCACCTTTATCTGCCAAATGTTTCTTTCTTTATTATTGTGACTCGATTATGATTTAAGATGTTACATTGTGTGTATATATCCGACTGATGCTTCCTTAATAAAGGTCATACATTGACCAGAAGGTGATAGACGGGTGCAGAGCACACATGAGATTAACTTGTGGAAGTATCCTTGACAGCCTAGAGGGAGACTGTTACCAAGTGAGTACTGAATAAATATTTATGAGCTAATGCTTCACTTAAAGATACAATATGTTGAATTTTTTCACTAAAATATCTAAATTAATTTAAATGGACTTAACTGATATATATATATGTTGTTGTTGAGTACTTATATTACCTCAAATATTTCCAGCAGTAATCAAAGCCAGAGAAATACTTAATTTTATAGTTGTAACGCCCCTGTGACCACAGAGCTGCCACGACAGACACGATATGTTTATCATTGCTACTTAAAGGAGGCGGGGACTGCTACAGAAAGCCGTCGTACTGTTGCTGTATGTGCTGCTTTGATAGGAACATCATGTCATTTAAAGTTGAATACAGTCAGCATTACAAAGATGGTCATCAACCGTCTGACTTAAATATTGTTTTCATGTGGTGTCATCGAGTCAGGCTGTTGTTGGCACGTTTTAATCCCTAGGCAAACCACCCTGCAGCTCCTGGGGTGTCTTATTTTTACAGCAGAAAACTTTTTTTAACAGCAGAACTTTTTTTTACAGCGTAGTTCAAAAAATGTGTTTTTGTCTCAATAGCGCACTTTTTTATTGATTAAAACTGTTTGGTGGGCTTTTAAAAAAATAACTAACTCATTTTCATTATATTAAGGGTAAGAGTTACACCTCTTTAGACATAATAGGGGGCGTGGCTGATTTGACTGACAGGTGGGCACGTTGTGGCTGTTTGCCAGGTGTTCAACTTAAATTACATCCAGTTCCTGACCTCAAACCGCTGGCTTTGTTCATTTTGTTTTTCTTGTTTGGAATGTGCTAGCTAGATGACGAGCTGGATGGGCCTGTTTCATAATAATGTGTTAGATAATCATTGACCTGCCTGGACACAACATTTTTTGGCTGCCTCTCAATAAGCTGAAAGTTCACACTTAAAGCCGGTCCTTGGGGGATAGTAATCTCCAAACTGGCTGCTGTAATTATCTGATAGTGACTTGACTCCTGTTTTTGATTTTACTGATTTTGAGATAATTGTGCTTCTTCTTTTTTTGTGTGCTTTCAGATACTAGTGGAAGACTGTGTGCCGGTGCTGAAAAAATATGTACAGGAAGGAAGGACGTTTGATTATGTAATTAATGACCTCACTGCGGTCCCAATATCCACAGAGCCAGAAGAAGGTTTCTCTATTTCTCTCTCTCTTTCATTTTTGAAAAATCGTATTTGTGAGACATATTCTCATGGATGTCACTGTTGAACTGCTTTTTGTAGACTCGACATGGGAGTTCCTGCGTCTCATCTTAGATCTGTCAATAAAAGTCCTTCATCCTTCTGGGAAATATTTCACACAGGTGAGTTTTCAGCATTCAGTTTTTCTTTGAAACTTCTAATGTTAATACTGGCGTTAAATAGGATGATATTGCGAGGAGGGAACAAAGCCCAGTTAATCCAGTTTCATATCATTCAAATGGAGAATGGCAGATCATTTGATTGGAGGGGTGATCATGTCAACATTAATCAAACGGGGAGAAGTCATTATTCACTTTTCATATTGGCTACACTTTGCGACTTCTTTCTTCAAGTCCAACCTGTGGCTGCTTTCCCCCTGATTTCCGACCCTGTATCTAAATAAAGGCATAAAAGCCCAAACATGTTATGATTGAACAACAAATAATTAGCGACAGTTTTTATGTCTTGTGACTTTTCTCTCTTTCTACCTCTGGCCAACAGGGAAACAGTGTGAATCTGAAAGAGGCACTGAGTCTGTATGAGGAGCAGCTGGGAAAGCTCTCGTGTCCCGTAGGCTTCTCCAAAGAGGTGGTGTGTGTGCCCTCCTACCTGGAACTGTATCCTTTAAACACATTACAGGTTATCACTGTGATAGATGTTGAAACATATCCAAGATGGCTTATGAAGCAACAGAGTCCGACGATGAGCGTTTTTGCCTTTATATCAATGCTACGTGTAATTGGAAATGTTCACAGTCTCGACCAATGAGTATGAAATGACATACTAGCAAGCAAATAGAGTGTAAAGCTTCATTATGTGCAATAAGAGCTCACTGTTTTCCCAGGCCCAATCACCCGCAGTGGATTTCCCTGAATATTGCCTGCTGTGTTCGCACATGTACCTCATCGCAAAATTTCAGGATATTTTCAGGAGTACAGTGCATGTGTGAAAGAGTAAACAGTTAATGAATTAATTTAGAAAATTGTGATTTTTCACATTCAGTTTGCTATTTTGGTGTGCATCCACACAAACAACCCAAAACAGATTCAGATGTCACCCTGGGATTAATAAAGTATTTCTGATTCAGATTTTTCTAAAATAATATATTCCTGTAGAATGAAAATTTGGAAATTATTTTCTATATATCTGGCTATTATTTGAATTAGTCACTCATGAGGTTTATCGCTGTGTTGGTTGAGTTTTTTATTGGCAGAAAAGCACTGGCTTTTTCGCTCGGTAGCGATTGCATGAAGCATTTGTAGGCTGAGAAGAAAAGCGCTGCACGGCCCTCCTGTCTGTATGACAACAGTCTGGTGACAACGATCGCTCTATGATCAACACTGCTACGTTACTTTTTACTCTGTTTTTTATTTTAGATCATTTATTTCCAGATCAGACACGGATCAAAGAGGATGTGGGTACAAGACACAGTCCGTAGTCAGCAAAACTACAGGGAATATCACACATTTGGAAAAGAGCGTCGGTAAAGTCAGTAGCGCTTTTCTGAAAAGTTGAACGATTTTTTTTATCTTGAGCGCTTGAAGCGGCCACGCAAAAAGGCGGAGCGCTTGGGAAAAAAAGAGGCTGGGCGCTGCGCTTTTTCTCCTGTCAGCCGTCTGCTGCTGCAAACGCTCTCTCATCAAAAACAATTGATAAAAGGGCGCTGGCTCACAGAAAAAAAACGCTAGGTGCACACGGCCTTACACGCCTCCTTTCTCATTCTGGAGATGTCAAGCATTGTGCAGCGATGTGACCAAGTTCTTATTCTAGCATTTTCATTTTTAAGCAAAGTGTTAAAACTTATAGCAGTTCATTCATAATAATAAGTAATACCATTGATGTGATGTTTGATTCTGTACATTCCTTAACTGCAGTGTGTCAGATGGGTTTTCTACACTGTGTGGAAGAAGTAAAGAGCTGCAGGTTTTCTCTGCTTGAATCCCCAGCGGCTGGAAAGTGAACGCTCCACCCATTTCTGCTGTAGCCTCAAAGGTGTGTTCAGACTGAACAGGACATGAAAACGATAGGTAATTAAATCATGGGGATAAATAAAAGGTTCCAGGTATTTTGGCAAAAAAAACAGTATGGGTGCAGGGAAATAACACATATTGAGCTACAGCTCGGTGCTGTAATTGGCCACATTTGGTGAATAAACCTGGACTGTGAAACACTCCTACTGTTATGGTGTGAGACTAAAAAAATGCATTCTGCATTCAGTCTAAACACATCTTTGGGGCCAAAAAAAACCAACAAGTTTTATTCTCCCCTCTTTTTTTTAACCCCATATGACCTGAATCTCCCTCTCTCTCCTTGTCCCTGTTTTAGTTGTGTTTTACCATTGTTTCCTACGCCTCAGTTATATTTCCATTGTTACTTGATTTGAATGTTCATTTGCATGTATGTTGAAGGAACTGTTAGATGTTTGGACAGTGGTTTGATACACTGATGTGGTGTACTCTCACAACAGGTGTGTGTGATCTTGTTTTTTTCTTTAGGTTTACTCTGAGTTATGAGCTCAGATGGAGTGATAGGTCAATCTATATCCTCAGCACATCTGATCTGAGTTGCTTTTCACGCTCTCTTTTTACTGCCTCTCAAATGTGATTTGATTCTTGCAGGTTGTTTCAAGGCAATGTGAGCATGTCCAGTAGGACTCAAAGTATTTGAGTCCACGTGTGTTTTAAAAGGGAAACGATTCCACCACTTTGATGCCGACTCTGTGCTTGTGCAGTTTATGTCATGTTTTATTAGCACCTTTGGTTTCTCCTGATATATTTTAAGTTGTTTTTTTTTTTTTAAGACTGTATTAGGTGCATGTAAAGGACAGTGAATGTAGCTTGCATATACAGTACACAGCTGGTTTACAAGTGATAAACTCTGTGGGACTCTGAGTTACATTTATTTATTCTATATAATTTCACCAAATGCTGTTTTGTCCCACTGAGAAAATGTTTGACCATCACAATTAAAGTGTTTTCGGGGGATGTTGTTCAACATTTTTCTTTCTAGAAATACAATTTAATAAAGTGCAGAAAAAGTTTTGGATATTTACAAAAGAAAACATGTCAGAGAGAAAGAAATCAGGGGCTGAACACTTGTGTGACAGGTGTTGTCACATCATAATCATAGTCAGAGCAGTTTGTGGGCGAGTACAGACAGTGTCTGGCCTCTCCCTCATTCTCTGTAGTATGTTCTTCCTGTTTGTCCTGACAAAGAGGCTGTAAGAAAGGTCTAGACACATTCTTGTTGCTAAGATATTTTAATTAACATCAATTCTATTAGAGATGTTGCGTCAGTAATGGCCTGCAGCACATTAGGAGGTGTAGATGTGGATTTTTCATTGCACTATAAACTTGTTACCGGGTCTCTCTTCTGTATGAAGGCTACAAGTTGCCTTTCATGAAATCCAACGTGAGTTTGACAAGACTGCTAACAAAATTTCGACCGGTAAATATATCAAGAATATCACTGACAAATACATGTTCAGGCTCATGTGAAAAAGCAATCTAGGAACAAATGAATTAAGTGAATGTGCTGACTTGAAGGTATTCATGTTGAAAATATCGTAGCCCATAAGTCTTTTAAATGAAATGTTCCAATACATACATAAATTAGTCTATACATCTCAATTATATACAAATAATTCAATACAAGACTGTTCTTGTATCAGGACGCCTGTTGTTGTCTGGACTGTCTGTTGATCTCGTTGAGGACCACGTCCATATTTGGCTCCTCGTCAGTTGTGATCGCTTGGTCTTCAAATGGGCTGCCTGTAACACAGCGACACTTCATTATTTCTAATAGATTCAGTCTATAGCATACCATTTATGAAAATGTGTTGCTGATTGGAATGATCTTAATAAATGCATCTCTTTTTTTCTGTTAATAGCCCCCTTGTGTGACAGGTGTGTAGCAGAAATGCAGTGTGATTACCAGACACAGTCAACACATAATTTAACACATTTAACTTCATTATATCTTGAATAGAAAATGTGGCATCCCAATTTCAGTCATATATTTGCTGTGGCATAGTCTTAAATATGAATTTTCCTCTTTTTTTTTTTTAAAGTTGTACTTGTTCTGCCCTATGGAGAGATCACATCAGACCTGAAACTCTTCAAATCAAGGTAAAAAAAAAGTAGCTTTTCAAGGAGCAGAAGCAAACAAAAAAAAACAAGATCCCTTTGGGGGGGTTCATGCTGAAGCTTATATTAATTTCAGGAGTTATCCAAATTTAACTGACTTCAGATACAGGCACAGTGACTGTTCACTTACTAATGCCATTAAGCTGCTCGGAGGGATCAGGGACAAGGAAAGAGGAAGAGCTGTTTGTCTGGGACAGCTTTGATGAACGGTCAGGTGTTAGTCTGGTCACTGATGACTTCTTCATGGTCTTCTGTGTTGCAGTGTGACTCCATTCTGGTGAAAAAAAGTAATTTAATCATCCAGAATGTAAGTAATTCATACAATGTTAAACATCTAAAATCAAAAGCGATGGATAGATGACAGTGAAACAGGTTTCTAAAAAAAAACTGATGGAGCAGTGAATGTTTCTAACCTGAGTTCTCTGCTAGTCTCATCTTGCCACAGCAGAGGTACATCCTCCACTGCTTCCTCACGCTCTCCTTCACCGCACAGTGGAAGATAAATATAAAGAATCCTACAAATAGAAACAGCATTCAAAAATGTTAGGGTCAGGATATTACAACTTGGCTCTTACTGTTGTAATTGTAAGCACCCAAGTTTAGCAAATACGCTGATGCTTGTAAAAGAAACGGCATTTTTATAGAAACAAAAATAATTACGTTAAATATTCATATAAACACCGCTGACATTTTACAGGCATCTTTGTCAACTTTGACCTACTGTACTTACACAAACATTTTGTTATGCAATGAAGGCTTAAAGCTGACGTTTGCCCCATGTGCCCTTACTTTGAGTTTTATCCCCAAATCAAGGGTTTAGATAATCTGGCTCAAGTGTTGGCATGTTTACAACCGGTCTGATGGCGCATCTTGTCTCGTCAGACTTTATTGTCACCATGTTGACAGATTTCAGCAGATGGTTTGGTAAATGTGAAGATAACATTAATGGTTTTAATACCAAAATAAAAACGACTCGTTAATCAAGTCATAAATCGTCCCAGTTTGCTGAAAAGTGTTTTTTTTTTAATTATATTTGACAACTATTGAGATATTTACCCGTGACTTCAATAAAGTTTTTTAAATTTATATTTTAACACAAGCTCAAGTCTTTATAACAAACACATATTTGTTGTACTTAACAATGTGCATGTGATATTAAAATCTTCTGTGAGGATTTTATGGATTGTGGCATCAATTTTTGTGTATTGCAACAGTAATATTAAAGCAACACCAACGCTGGATCAACGCTTCAAAACGACACAGATGCAGGCTCTATCTGTTGGTAAAGAAGACGCAAGTCAATCCCGTAATGTGCTGGTGCTACAGTATGTTGATCATTTTTGGCGCAAGAAACAAAAGACACAAGTTTTGATAAAGTCAAATACTCCTCATATGCTTGATACCCTTCACTCAGGTGTTAATGGACCTACTTTAACATGGACACCTAGTCTGAAATTGGCCCAACTCACCTTGCAAAGAGTTAAAGATGGCAAAGAGGTACATGAACGGAAGGTTAACAGGTCCCCAGGCAAAAAAGGCAAAACCCCAGGTGAGGCCCAGGAGGATGGTAATCCCCGCCACGCTGCGCGCATCCTGCAGTATGGACCGGTGAAGTGAGTTGTGAGGGTTCTGTCTCTTTAACCGACACAGCTGGACCAACACCACGACGAACATGACCACATTAAAGAGAAAAATGACACAGAAGTACGCCACCACCGCTACGTAGAAGGCGGTATCATCCTGCAGCCAGCAGCTAGGAGAGAGGACAAGGATGGGAGAAAATTAAAAGGTTAGTTTTTATATTTTTATAATATCTAATATATTTTGGTATTTTGTCCGTGCGATAATGTGCCTGTAAATGAAGACTCACAAGTCATCACTAGTGCCATCAGCAAACCTTCCGTAGGAGACGAGGCCATAGTTATTCTTGTCAATGGCAATGACAATAATGACCACAATCATTGGGACACCCCAGCCCACCAGTGAGAACTTCAGCATGTAGCATGATATGTAGCTATTGAAGACTTTCACCAGGGCTAGGTACATGTGGACGGCTTCAAGTCCCATCCAGGTGAAGGCCACCAGCAGGAAGTAGTGAAGGAACCAGGCGGTGGAGATGCAGAGGCCCAATGCATTGGGGTAGAGTGCCAGCCAAGCATCGACAAGGAAGACCAGATTCAGTAGCAGCAGAGCCACGCACAGCTGGATCAGGATTTTAGATGGGATGTCCTTGCGTAGCTTCCTGCAGGATCAGAACAGTTGAGATAACATGATATATCTCTTCAACAGAAGCTGTTTTCTCCTGTGAAAAACAAATGATGTTTCGATCTAATCTTGATGCAATTCATATCTCTTCCATTTTGATCTTTCATCTGGTAGTCTGTAGTGCAAAGTAGTGTCGGCTAATTTTAAGATGAGTGAAATTCACTGGCTGACACCCCCCCCCCAATCAAATCATTTCATTGGCTTGTACTTTTTGCTGCAAGTCTAACTGCATATTGGGAACAACATAAACATTACTCTATCAATTTCCAATCTAAGAGTTTCTTCAAGTTCTGGATTGATTCAGTGAACATAAGGTTCAAGCTAATCAGCTGGCCAGGCTACTTTTATTGCTAAAGTACAACAGGAAGCAGATGATGTCGGGGAAGTACTGTAGGTTCTCTAATTCCAGCTCTGAGGGTGGTAACATTGTGGAGACATTATGTTGCCACAAATCGAGGACAACAAGGATAGTGTTGAGAACAGGAGAAGAAATACTCTCAGACGGAGATCCACTTATACTGTAAATGAGCGCTGTGAGCTTAAAGTAAGTTACTGCTGCTATGTTCTTTGTGCCTCAGGCTAATATTAGTTAAGTCTAGCAGGCAGCTTCTAGCTAGCATGATCTGTGCAACTGCTACAAACAATCCAAATGAACCAAAGGTGGCAAGAGTGCAATCTAATCCAGCAGCTTTTGATTCCCAGCACTCACCCGAAGGCCAAATACGTGAGGAGGGTGATAGAAAGAAATATGGCCGAGATCCCACAGCCTATGTAAGTGATGAATGTGAGGATGGTTGCCTGAACCCGACTGGTTAAAGGCGTCCTGGAGAGGTCCTTTAAGAAAAGAGGAACAAATCAGACTATTGCTGATTCAGTTTCAACAAAAGAAAAGGACAAAATAAATACAAGCTGTGATCATCTTTTTTACCAGCAGGATGGCAAAACTGGTTAAATGGTTGCAGCCACAAACTGTCTCGTTGTCGGTGCTCTTTAGGACTGAGCAGCCATCTTGATTCCATCCACCTGATCCGTCTGATAGAAACCCCCCCAAAAATTAACTGTTTTGTCATCATTGTTTTTTTTTTAAGAATCATTCAACTGACTGAGATACTGTAAGGTAACTTACCATTCATTGTGAAATCCCAGAAAACACATATAGCCACAAAGTTAGCCTGTAGTTTGGATAAAGGCACCAAAAGCTTGTATCAGTTTACATTTTCGTGATTTTTTTTTCTCTCTTGAAACCCTTTGAAAGCAGGTTTATGTGCTGTTATTATATATTATATTTTGGAAATGGACTCACAGGAATAGGCTCTGTATTCCTCAGGTTGATTGTCACATTGTCCTGCAGGCCTGAGATTGATAGGTTGGCCACGCTTGCTCCGAGGATCCCGCTGTTCAGTCTGCGCACTCCCAAAGATCTGTCCTGAATTTCCAGCCAGAGACAAAACAAGTTGTCAGTGTGTAAAGAGAAATGCTTGCTTTTATCGCAGTATTTATTAATACCACTGTGGAGGCAGCTAAATGAGTCCAAGACAAATTCCTTTTCTATTTGCTTTTCTAGGCGATGAAGAGCAGGCATCCATAATCATTTCAGTCTGTTTCATGACCATTTAAAAACTCCTCACAGGAGCTTTAATAGTGCATCTCCAGCTCGAATGAGATGTTTGTTGAGTGTATAGACCTGGAACACGGTGCTCTTCTGGTAGAAGTTGAAGTGGACTCTAGAGGCCAGCTGCTGCTCCCCTGAGCTGAGGTTCTGTGTGAGGGAGGGGGGCAGCCTGATGGAGCCCTGCGGGATGGAGGAGTCTGCCCTCACACCACTGAGCCGGGAACCCCCATTGAGCTAGAAAACCCACATTTTGACATGAGCAGAGAGACACAGGCAAAGTAATCAGATTCTTTCATCATATTATTTTAGTGTCACTGTTTTGTCTTTCTTTTTCTTTTTCTTTTTTTCGTTCATCTGACATCCATCTGTCAGGGATGACCATTGTTTATTTATCAGTAATACCTCAAGTAATTTCTCCTCCAACAGGTTGCTATATGCACATATACGAGCGTAATCCCAGGATGAACACAAAGAAATCATGTTTAAAAATAATCTCATTGAGATGATGTGAAGTAGGTTGCCTGACTCACTGATCTAGTTCACCTCCCTGACTCTTCATCTGTGGCATTATACATGTACAGGTTGTGATGGAGACTTTTTCTAATCGTTCAGAGCTCAACTGGAGTTACATTTTGGCAAAAGTGTCTCAGTTAGCCAAGTCAGAAAAGCAGCAGGACCCTGAAACTGGTTCATCGAGATAGAAAGCAGACAATAACCCTCGTCCATGGCTTTAATTATGCATGGTTTTTCTTGCTGTGGCATGTGAGCGTTCCTGCTCTTTCAAGCACCTTGGCTCGCTCTCATGCGTGCAAAACTTCCTATCAATTGGATTTATCATGGTCCAGTGATTGTAACTCTTTACTGACTGTTTGCAAATGTACCTGCAATGATAAGCCATACTTATAAAAAATAAAGATAGAAACATGTTAATTAGTTCAAAATACCAATACATAAAGTTCTAGTAAAGGTTCTGTATTCAAAATCCTACTTAGATAGACACAAAAAAGAAAATATATTTGTGTTTTATGACTAGAGATGCACTTAGGGGCCCTCTGGTTGATACATGGTGATATATCATATTAGTAGATATTTACAGATGCATCATTATGTATATCTGCACTTGAATTTTTGGCCATCTGAAAAGTTTGGATGACATTTTCTCTTAGATTGGACTGATCAAAAGAACTCAGAGACACTAAAGTGAAGAGAACAAAATGTCCCTCTTTAATGTTTTGTAAACATATTGAGTTGGATAGAATGGAGGTATTCGTGTAAAGAATTTAAAAACTGCACTGATGTAATTGTTTTTTACTGACAAAATGAACTTTATATCTCTGCAGTGCCGTTAAATTAGCAGTATTTGTTAACCTGGATTTTTTACAACTTATATCACACATGAGAATTCTAAAATGTGTACACCCAGGCCATAGACATCTACATCATAAGTGCTGTAATGAATGACCCATACCACATTTCAAACAAATAGAACAAACCAGATTTTCTTGTCATACCTGTACATCATTTGGGTTTGAGATGGAAAAAAAGGTTTCCTGAAAATTAGTGCCATCTGCTGGTGTCACTAACAGAGCCACGTCGGGGGACAGGACGGTCTGAACTGCTTCCTCAAGGACCAGTTTTGACCCCACTGTGTCAACGAGCTGTATAATCCTGATGGAAAAAAAAAACTCATTTGTAATGTGCAAATTAGGACTAATTGTTACATATTTTAAGATGATTAACAGTATTTCCCAACCTCTGCATTTCAGACCAGGACCAGGTCTCTGAACATTTGTTTGATGGGTGCAAAAAAGCAGCTGAACTATTATTTAATGTCTTGTGGCTGGTGTGTGTTTTAATTTGTGTTGTAATTGCTTCTACTTCAGGGCATTCTGTGCTTTATTTCTCATCATCATCCCAGGGTTTTGTAATAAAAAAAAAAGAAATGTTTCTCGAGTGGGAAAATAGCCCACTATAACCTTATTGCAGCATTAAACAATACATACAGATGTGTGAGATTACATTGTAAGTTTACAAAGAGACGAATAGTAGACCCATGTCTAACTTTATATTCCAGTTTGGTTACTTATGAGGCAAAGAGAACAAAACAGCTATGAAGCTCCAACTAATCAGTTATGCCCTCCTTGGTTGGACAGTCGGCTAGAAATTTGTGAACATGAAAACAATTACAGATGCAAAAAAGTGTGGTACTGCTGACTCTCTTATTTCTAGAGCTGGGAGATATGGCTAAAAATGAGTCTCCGATTTGACATACTGTATTGTAGAAAGGACACCACAGCAGGGTCAACAGAGGGTGACCCTATGTACAGTTGTTGCCTTTATATTAATACTACATGTAACTGGACATTAAGTAGCAAATAATACATGCTGTCAAATAGAAAAGAGTATGAAGCCACTTCATTACGCGCACAACATTTGGACTGGTCACACATATGTTGCAATATATAACCTAAACCTCCACACCCCCACCTGCTCTTAACTGCTGTGTGTTACACATCCGCTCACCCTGACTTCTTAGGGAAGTTTTACAAGGGGGCTTGCAGGATGGAGTCTGAATAAAGTCGCTGAACATTTGACCATTTGCAATTTCACATTGGGATAATTTATGTGCTCAAAGTAAAAACGTTTCCAGAAAATGTCAAATAAATTCCCATGTAACCTGTTGGAGGAATTAGACAGCACTTCAGGAGAAGCACCCAGCAGATTGCTGACGATCTGGACCGAGGTGTTTCCCAGCGCCAGGCTGACATTCGGGCCTGACAAAAGCCTCTCGAGCTGCGACACCAGCTGATTCACCTGGCTGGAGTTCAGTTGGGACACGTCTCTGGTCATGTTAAGCAGATCATTGGCTTGGTCCTCAGCTATCATCAACAAACAGATAATTCTGCAATTAATATTTATAAGGTGGGAGACATTGCAACAGTTTTGCACACAATGGCAGAGAGATGACATACCATTTACGGAGGTTGTAGGCGTGTTGAGCGTTGTCGTCAAGGTGGTGTTCGGTTGTGTGGAGTTTCCTGTGGATGCATCCACAGTCTCTCTGTTCACTTATTATAAAGCATTCTCTATTCTCTCATGATCTACAGAAATGTTAAAAATCTGGGAAACATGTTTATGGCTACTTTCTATTTTGGGATTTGATGAGAGGTTTGATACCACTATCATCAAGCAAATCTCCCTGATTTCCAACTTTATGAGAGTTAAGAATTTTAAAAAACCTCCTCCCAACAATGAATAGCAACCACTAAGGTTAGCTAAACTTAGCTTACAAAAACCTCTGTTTTCATATAATTGATGCGCCCCGCCCACTTTCTAGTAAAAAATCCAAAAATTAAATTCTTGATATGCTCATATTGTGAGTTTTTATGTAGAATAGTGTCAAAGGTCATAATTTTGCTGATGCTGTTTTTGACACATCATTCAACAGGATTATAATTGATAGGTTGAATAGTCCCTTCACTCTGTTATATTTGAACGTGTTGAAGAGAAAACGTGTAGAGCTCACCTGGTGCACAAGTAGTCGGGCTGCATTGACTGAAATTTTCACTGTCAATGAAAGCCACAATTGATTTAAAAAATGTTAGTGACACTCTAAGAAACGTGTACAACACAAAAACACAAAAATTATCATGCTTCCTTTAAGAACTCTTATGACCAAGCACCACTTTTTTAGAAGCTTCACAAAGTTTAGCAACTAAAACAAAAGAAGAATCTACATAAGCATTGCAAACCATTACCATGATTCACTGGCTCCATCAGTAGGCCTATATGTGCAACAGTTTTCCTCCTGTGGATCAGGATTGCACTCACTCTGCGGTTCTATTCAATGAAACAAAGGATTGATTTCAATATCATAACTAAGTGGGCAGGAAATTAGATATTTTTAGAGTTACAACACTTACTCATTATATCTATTTTTCTCCCCACTGCAGTGATGTTAGAGGAAGATTGACTGGCTTCACAGAGAATACGTAGGACACAACATGGATGTACTCTGTGCCTCAGGTTCAGGATTACAGAACAGGTGTTTCTGAAGAAAAAAGTGGATGTTACCAACTGACAGATTCTCTACAGCCTTTTAAGTCATATAAAAAATAGTTGGCCACTTACTTGATTGCAGTAGTTTCATTGCAGGAAACTTTAACTCCCTGTTAAATGAATGAATCAATAATTATTGTCATGACTGTTCCTCTCACCTGTAACCCAGAGAAACATTGGAAATGAACTTACTTGAAATAGTCCAGTTGTTTCAACAATTCTGCTCCCACATAGAAATAAAAACCATTAAGACAACATCATTAGGAAACCATAAAAATTTAAAGCAAGTTTATTCTCTTAAAAATAAAAAAGTTGAATAAGAAGATGCTGATATTAAAAAAATTCAAATACTCTCTCTTTTCATACATGTGTTAATAAAGTTATTTGGGACTACATTATGAGTGACATTAACAATAAAAATGTTCTACTTTGTACAAGTGCCAAACAGTGCCATATTTTTGTGTTATTGAAAGATCATACATTTCATTATTTAGTTATGTTAAGCTTTGTTATTTCAAGAAACAAGTTTAGTTTTCTAAAGAAAAACACCACTGGGAGTGCCATGCAAGCATGCAAAGAAGATCTGATTTAAGCTGACAATGTCTGTTCACGACTATTGATGTTGATCAGTATTTTTCAAGTTGATCTTGCATTAAAAAGTACCAAATAAACCTGATACCCAGTCTGCAAGAGTAGCATGGGAGGTAGAGCCTTCAATTATCAGGACTCTTCTATCATTGACGGTCCAGGAGGAGGAAACTATCCATGCCTTTTAGAGCAGGCTCAAAACTGCTTTTTAATAAACTTATAGTCGGGGCTATCTCGGGGGATGGGACCAGCCCTGTTTTCATTTCGCTATAGGCTCAGACTGCTAATTTGATAGACAGATCTCCTATCTCCTCCCTGAAATTGAGCTTTGCCATCTGAAGATAACAGAAGCAAAACTAGTTTGCAAGACTGACCATTGCCAGCCTTCGTACTTGTGGTCTATGCTGTAAAAATGTGAATGTTAAATTTATTTTTATAAACTCAATAAAAATAATACCTGGTTTGTGCCACTCTGTCACTAAGGTCACGTGCTCTGCGCGGCTTGTTGGACTGACTGGAACCGGACATTGGTTGGGCCGCTTCTCCACCTACACTGGGTGGTTGGGCCGCTGTGCTTGTGATGGAGTCGGTTAAAGGGGCTGTCACGGTGAAAGTCTGAGTCATTATCATAAGCAGTGTTGTACTGGAGCTTTTCAATGCTGTTGATGTTGAAGTTGCTGCTTCAGTTGTGCTAGAGCTTGTTGACATTGTTGTTGTTGGAGCTTCAGTTGTGCTAGAGCTTGTTGACATTGTTGTTGTTGGAGCTTCAGTTGTGCTAGAGCTTGTTGACATTGTTGTTGTTGGAGCTTCAGTTGTGCTAGAGCTTGTTGACATTGTTGTTGTTGGAGCTTCAGTTGTGCTAGAGCTTGTTGACATTGTTGTTGTTGGAGCTTCAGTTGTGCTAGAGCTTGTTGACATTGTCGTTGTTGGAGCTTCAGTTGTGCTAGAGCTTGTTGACACTGTCGTTGTTGGAGCTTCAGTTGAGCTAGAGCGTGTTGACATTGTTGTTGTTGGAGCTTCAGTTGTGCTAGAGCTTGTTGACACTGTCGATGTTGGAGCTTCAGTTGTGTTTGAGCTTGTTGACACTGTTGATGTTGGAGCTTCAGTTGTGTTTGAGCTTGTTGACACTGTCGTTGTTGGAGCTTCAGTTGTGCTAGAGCTTGTTGACACTGTCGATGTTGGAGCTTCAGTTGTGTTTGAGCTTGTTGACACTGTCGTTGTTGGAGCTTCAGTTGTGTTTGAGCTTGTTGACACTGATGATGTTGGAGCTGTAGTGTTTGAGCTTGTTGACATTGTCGTTGTTGGAGCTTCAGTTGTGTTTGAGCTTGTTGACACTGTCGTTGTTGGAGCTTCAGTTGTGTTTGAGCTTGTTGACACTGTCGATGTTGGAGCTTCAGTTGTGTTTGAGCTTGTTGACACTGATGATGTTGGAGCTGTAGTGTTTGAGCTTGTTGACACTGTCGATGTTGGAGCTGTAGTGTTTGAGCTTGTTGACATTGTTGATGTTGGAGCTTCAGTTGTGTTTGAGCTTGTTGACACTGATGATGTTGGAGCTGTAGTGTTTGAGTTTGTCATTGTAGTTGCTACAGCCATAGATGTGCTGTCGTTTTGCAATGTTGTTGTCGTCATTATGAATGTATTCAAAGACGTAGGTGCGGCAGTTGTAAACATGCAGTCCATCAGCTTGTTTTGGAACACTTCACTGAGCTTAGAAAGAGAGAACATGATGGTCATTACATTTAATCTTCTGGTATTTTAACAAGCTAGTCTATAAAAAGTTATTCTACTTACCCAGTCAGAGATTTGTGATTCATTCTTCACCTGTCCATTGAAATCCACAGTGAGGTCAAAATGGTAGGCTACTGCCATGAGAAGGAAAGGAAACATTGAGGATGCAGATTTGTACATGGTCAAAATCAATACAGCTGAGACATCCTTACTCCACAAAAAGTAGATAACCTAGAAGACACCTGAATGCTTATTTAGCAGATCTGCAAGGACAGTTTGAGACTCACTTATCAATGTATTTCTATAGATTGGTTTGTCAAAGACTGATGTTACTGTTGGGATGATTCCAGCTTTGAATAAATGAGAAAATATCCATTTAACCTTTTTATTTGTATGACTACCATTCAGGGCTAGTAAAGCTGCTAGACCAAAAAACAAATACCTTAAATATATGAAGCCTACAGTTCATACACAATGAGCAATGCTTGCTTTCTTGTAGAATTTAGTATTCTACAAGAAAGCAAATATTATTATTCCTTAAAACTGACACATTATTCAGGTAGCTGAATAAATCTACTTGTACTGTTGCCGTAATCGACATCAAAAAATTATGACCATTTAATCCTTATTTGTGACATTATTGGTGTCCTGTCATAGAGCTTCATTGTCTACTGACAAGAATGGACAAGAGAGGTTAAACCCTAATAACAGATAAGAAAAATGAAGAAAATGGATGTCTGTCCCTGTCTGGTTGTAGATGGCAGTGCTTATGATGTTTGTCATGTCTGATGAAGGGCGAGGGCCCGCAACGTTACAGGCGGTAATTTTTCCATTAAATTAAATTTAATTGGAGCAGCTTCTGGTGTGCGGACTAGTCTACCTTTGGATGTTTTTTTGTTTGTGCTATTTGATATCAGTGCTTATGATGTGTCTCTTGGATGTTGCAGGTTTACCTGGGGCCTGATTGCAGGAAGCCTGACCTGATGGGAGACAAATATTCATAATTTTCAGTCACACAACAAAGAAGAAATGTATACTTCTATTTCACAAACATGAATAACTTGAATTTCTCACTATCAACAAACTTTTTCACTAACTACAACATAAGCTAACATATTAACAGTAGACTTAAACCACAGGTTTTAATATGTTTTTCAATCTGCTCCAAATCACACACAATTTTCTCTTACTGAATTATCACCTTTAGTAAGTTTACATATAGGTATTTCTTTATCTTGTATTTCATTCCCTTATATGCATCAGATTTTACTTATTTGTATATTAATGATCAAAAAAAGGTAAATAGATTAAGGAAAAATGGAATCAACATGTATAACATGTTTGAAAGGGATAGTTTTTTTTATTATTATTATTTAATTAGGACAGTGCACATTAATCGAAATATCAGCAAATAGCATCCATGTAAATATGTGAGAATTAGCACAAAAGCTGTATCTGTAGTCCTAAGGCCGGTACTAACAAAAGTTTATTTTTATTCATAGTAGATGTCTCACTTTTAAGCACTTTAAAAATGTTAATAATAACTCAGTTGACTGTGGCAGCTGTTGAATTACGTTCTAATTGTTTGATCCTCTTGGTCTTACTTTCCACCTCTGTCTGAAGAAGCTGCACCACTGTGAAGTTTTCCATTTAGATAATATATATTTAGCAAATGAACTAGAATAACAGGTTACAGTGTAGAAAAGAAAAGAAAAGAGACACATTCATGCGTGTTTGTGTGTGTCTGTGTTACATGACGAACAGTGAATGACTGGCATGAGAGACATTTTAGTTTATTAATGAAGGTGCAGAGTTTTTAGGCCTGATAACATGACCAAACTACTGACAGACACCGCGAGTCTATTGTCTGCAGATAATTTTTCACTCAAACCTGTCAGAGCATACCTGCAAGTAGGACCAGCAGAACCAGCAGCTGTATGTGCAACCAGTGTGGATGTGGGACATGAGAGCCAGCCTTCTTCAGTCTGTAATACAACAAATACAAACATTTGAACTATTCTTTCCACTGAAATGAGATAAGAACATATTATTTGTGACATTATAAAAGGGGACCATTGTTGTTGAACAAGAGTTGAAAAGGGCGGAAAAAGTGAGTCATGGAGAAAACCTTTCGCCCAGCACACCCATGCAAATGAATGTTAAAGGCCTTTCCTGTAATTATACTGTATGTCCTAAATGATCAGTCAGTAAAACATGTATTGTATTGTCTTCAGAAATGAATCATGCCAAACACTTAAATGCATAAAAGACCTTTGAGTATAATCAGAGAATACATCAGAATGAACAAGTCAACTTTTGTAAAAAAGGAAGAGAGAGAAAGAACAACATCGCTTTAATGTTGTTTTCTGTGAACAAATGGTGAATGTTTGCTTGGGTCACAACACTTTCAGAGGTGTTCACAACTGTTATGAAGGAGTGCTGTTATCAGGGCATAAAACATTATCGTGTTTCTAAAACCTGATTTAAAATGAATTGGGGAAAAAACGTAGTATATTATTAAGTCAGTTGAGACTTTGAACAACTTAGAGTATATCTGAGAACCTAAACATTCGATGAAGAAATATGGATATGAATCTCAGTTTAAGAATAGAAATGGGTGAGACTAATTAATGGAAATAAAAGAAAATAGAGTAAATGGGATTTTTGATTTGCTGCTCAGAGAGAAGGAAAACAACTCACTGGTAAGAACGAGATGAAACTATAGTCTCATGCAAAAGCTTAGTGGGGTTGCTATGTTGTCATGCCCAACAAAATCCAGACACTTCAGTGTGTTTTATGTGGATAAATATAATATCATCAGTTTAAAAACATGGAAACATCCTACCTGGCATTTATTATATTCATATGACTGTGTTGCCCAACAGATGGATCCTATTTTAAAGAAAACCTAACAGATAACTCCCACTCCTACAGTGCACCTTTTGTACATTTCGTGTTTTTTATTTTTTATATTTTACATTTTTAAATTCTATTTTATATATTGTAAAAGCTTCTTATACTGTATTATTTAAGTTGTTGCTAGTCTGCTTTATTTCCTTGTTAATTGTTTAGCACCAATACACCAAGTCAAATTCCTTGTATGTGTAAATGTACTTGGCAATAAAACCCGACTCTGATTCTGATTCTGATTTATATTTTAGGAATATTACCAAAGATCATATTCAAAAATGTGTCCAAAAAACCCCCCACAAAAATATCTGACACAAAGTAAGATGAAATGAAAGAAAAGGGGGCGCCGGTGGTCATGTGTTTATCTATAGAGGCTTTAGTCTTCAAAGTGGGAGGTCCCGAATTCAAATCCCACCTGTGGCTCCTTTCCTGCATGTCATACCCCATTCTCTCTCGACCAAATTTCCAACTCTACCCACTGTCCTCTCTCTCCGATAAAGGCATAAAAAGCCCCAAAAACAAATCTTTAAAAAAAATGAAGGAAAAGAAACGCTTACAAAGATGATTTTGATTGGTAATTAAGCTGCTGATAAAGCATTTGAATTGAAGAAGTACATAAGGAAATGTTTCTCATAAAGGGATCCCCTTGATTATATCTGCATATCTGTCTAGACAAACCTAGAACATAACCAGTGCTGAATCAAATCAGATCAAGCTCTGATTTCTTTAGGCTGAACAGTCATCCCAAAAAAAGGAAAGTTGAAACACACCACCACCTTTACCAACATTACCTGGCAGAGTGGGAGAACGTGTGCCAATATGAAGGTCCATTAGCACAAATACCAGGAGCTCCCATGGTGCCGTCTTCATTTTCACAGAACATACCTTTCTGCAGATGAAATCTCGAACTTGAGAACAAATCCAAAACCACAAACATTAGACGCACATTGTTTTTCTCCTTAAACGCACACACCTGTAGTTGGAAGGCTTCTGTGAAAGTTCATTGAAGGTGTGTTTCTCATGCAGGATCAATAGCTGGCACATGTGCACGCCCCTGAGACGTCATCCTGAACTTGTTACTGTCACTCAAGCAAGTGTCCCCTCAACAGGAAGTGAATTGATTTTTATTCAAATCAGAAAACACACACTGTGATTTACTCTCATTCAAAACAATAACTATTTACATTGTTTTAATTATATGCAGGAAACAGATTTTTTTCTTTCTCTTTTTAGTTTAGCAGCAGGGGTTTGCCTCAGGGTGTGTCCTTACCTGAATGATCTCAGTGACAGACATAGGTAGGAGTTTCAGGAGGAGGGAAACCACAACAAAGCTAAAAGAGTTCATGGTGTTGAGACATTTTAACTGTTGCGTAACAAGAAGTCACGCTCCAGCAGCAGTATTGTCTGTCATGTTACGCACCTGCTTTTCAGAACTTTGAGTGGGAGGGAATGTCTCACACACACACACACACACACACACACACACACACACACACACACACACACACACACACACACACACACACACACACACACACACACACACACACACACACACACACACACACACAAACATACAGAAAGACACTCATGCAAAGTATTGATTTCCTCCTTTGTTGTGTATTTGCTCCTTGTAAACATCATTATTTATGTAGGCTAACACAGTTTCACCCTGTTGAGTGCGTGCACACTTATCAGAGATTACTTGCTGGTCATGTACTGAACACTGAGATGAATTGTTTAATTCATGACATCAGCAAACCTGAGAACATTATCAACAACTCTGTCATAAGAAAAGGCTTTGACAGTAACACCCAAGCATTACAGCTTGTATAACTAAAATGTGAAGAGTGATGAAAAGCAACATGTCAAACCAGTTTTAAGTAAACAGACCACTGGATAATTCGAAAAAAAAAAACACCGGGACATGAGGCCTGCAGGTCAAAAAGCCATAAGAAAAAAGTTGGATAAAATGATAAAATATTCTGGCACAGAGCACTGGTTTGGCACGGGGGGATTGTGCGCCACATAAGCAGAGGCTATAGAGTCCCTGCTGCTGTCCTGGGTTCAAGCCCAACCCTCAACATTTGCTGCATATCTTTCCCAATTCCGTCCCAATATTTCATCTCTCTCTCTCTCTCTCTCTTTCTCTCTCTCTCTCTCTCTCTCTCTCTCTCTCTCTCTTTCTCTCTCTCTCTCGCTCGCTCTCTCGCTCTCTCTCTCTCTCTCCCTCTATACTGCCCTATCAATAAAGGCATAAAATGGCCAGAAATTTAAAAAGAGTATTTAAATAAGGATGCTGAAAGAGGTCTGTCAACCTGTTGAACAAAGTTTGTGTTTTCTTTATGCTAGTACAGTATTTTGATCTGCATTTAGGAATAAAATATATATTTTTTTTGACTATGTATTACCCCCAAAAGAACCTCAAGTACACCTCATTGCACAGTATAGTATTGGGTCTGTGTCAGTTTGAGTTTGTGAGACACAAAGTAAAGTTGTAGTTCTCTCTCTGTACACCAGAGGGAGTACTAGAGAGTGAAAGCTCAAAAAAGTTTGAGAAACACAGATGGCAGAGCAGATCAAACAGTTTCTCCGATAATCAACAACCTTTGACTGACTTGTCTATGTAACTTTAAGGGGATTTGAAGGGTTAATTTCGTCATCATTTGAGGTCTGGAGCAGTTCATTGCGTTTTTGCAACATACTTCAGCATTTACAACAGATTGTACAGAAGACTTCCATGTAGAGGATTGTGACGCCAAATGTACAGGGTAGTAGTAGTCTTGTGAGGATATCTGTATTATTGCAGCTCTGGCACCGCATGGTGGAGGTTGTTTGGTTTAGTTCTCTAACATGCTCTTAATGTATAAAAAAAAAGAGTGAACCACTACGCCTTTATATTACAGATTTAATTACCTAATGGTAACTTAAAGCCATATTTGAGATTTATGAGTCCACCACTGAGCTTTTTGAATGGGTCAATTTTCATCATTTTTTAATTGTATCTACTCATCACATTATCCATCCATCACCCCTGATGAACCTGACAACCTGCTGGCTTCGTGTACCACCGCGCAATGTTATGCAACCCCAGTATAAGTGACCCTATGGCATGTGTAATCCCCTCCCTCTGTATTTTCTCCACTATCCAATCCTCATCGACTTCTTACATAAATACCGTAAAATCAAACTCTAATCTGTTATTGTTATCATATAGCTTGTAGTTATGTTTAAAATAGTAAATCCATATGAACATTATCATTTATAAAGTAGAATAAAATCAATCAATGTAACTTTAGCAAAAATTAAAGCTTGACACACATTTTGAAGAGCATGTTTTTATTTTGCATACAGTTATTATACAATGTAATGTCTGTGTGTATATTTGAGCAATGAAATAAATCTAAAAATGTAAATATATTTGTTATTTAATATATATTATATATTGTTGATCATTTTCTCTTTATAAAACAGGCATGTCAAAAAACAAAACACAAATGAACATCCATGAAAATAACGGACATTCAGTGCTAAAGCTGATCGCTCCAGGTTACAACTGAATGCTTCTTCAGCAGCAGACTCCCTTCAAGATATCACTCATCAGCTCAACTCAAGCACTGTGCAATCTTCAGGTCACGCATGCCATGACACAGTATCAAGCTGTAAGTAAGCTTATTGCTACCACTGGGTGTCAAACCATGATCAAAAAACTATGGTTTTCTCTTGCATTGTTATGCATACAAACTCCAGTAAATTATGTTGAAGAGCAGGTAAGCCATGGGGAATATGACTCTGGAATAAGAGTCAATCATGTAGCTGTTGCTCATTATGAAGCTGAGGTTTTGTTTTACAGGGTGCTTGCGGCGTAGCCTGGTGCCCTCTGTGGGAGCAGAGACAGTAGAGTTTCGAGCCTGGGTGTTCCTCTCTGTGTTTGGGGTGCTGGCGACCTCTGGAAAAGAAGCCAGGTCAATTTCGTTGTCATGGAAACAGCCATCAAATGCCATAGCCTGGGAGGCGTCGTAGGACTCGGGGATCTGCAGTGACAAAGAGAGGAGAGGAGGGTAAGACTGAGGTAAGCGAGCTCCAGATGGCAGGAAATGATTCTCTGTGGGTCACATGTGTCACATGAGATTTAAGAAGACAAGCAATGAATCAAAAAAAAAAAAAAAAAAAAACTTGAGTTACCCTTGCCCTCTTGAGCTTCTTCATCTCTTCCACTGTGGTGAAATAGTTGACGGCAGCATACTCAATGACAGAAAGAAAGACAAACAGGAAGCTTGCCCACAAGTAGATGTCTACGGCTTTGACGTAAGACACCTGCGGCATAGAGGCTGAGACACCAGTGATGATAGTGGACATTGTCAGAACAGTGGTGATACCTGGAAACAGAAAAGAGCAGTACATTATAACATGAGAGTTAAAAATGTTGTCTCACAAATGACATCCATTGTTAAGATGAACAGATAAGTCAAAGAGTTCATCAAAGTATTTTTTGGAGTGGTTACCAATGGGCATGGCAAGAGTTGCATTGTTCAATTATCCACTTGAGTATGGGGTTAATAGGTGCATGAATGTTTCACGCTCAATTAGTTTTTGAATGGAGAAAAAAAATGTTCCAGTCTGAGTCATACTGTATTATTTACAGCCAAATAAGCAAAGTAAACAAAAAAGACCTAATCATTTCTTTTCACAAATTTTAATTTGATTAAACCACATACGCTTTATCCATACAGATGCACTACATTCGGACAAACTGTTCTGTCAGTCAAAGGAACTAAATATTGGAATATTCTCCCACTCACAATAACAGACCCACAAACATATGCAACCTTCAAAACACACCTCAAACAGTGGATAAAAGAAAACCAAGTTTGTGACCACCTTTAACCTTTAACCTCTATTATTGTCTTGTGTCACTTGTCACTTGTGCCTTTGTATTTATATTTGTATTTTATTTGTAATTTGTCTTTCTCTGTTACCTGCCTAGGGACAACAGATAGAAACTAGCACTTCTGCTATAATCTGGTATTTTTTACAGCTGTTCATTAATATGCACTGTCCCTAAAACAAATAAATAAATAAATAAAATAAAAAATCTGCTATCTTTAAATTATTACAAATTTTAATAAATAAGATGTTCATGTGTTTTTTATGATTATCTATTATACTATTATATTATTTTCTAAAGAGAATATACGGTGAGGAATAAGCTAGTCCCTGTTGGTTGTCTTCTTGCACTGTGTTGACAAATCTCTACAGTCACTGCAGCTCTTCAAGAAATCGTCACTGTGTAAATTCATCCTTTTTCTAAGTTTTGTGAAACACTTTCGGCTGGTAAAAATGTAAAAGCCGGAGCTTTTATTTTGAAAGAGTGACACCAGTAGGAACGGTAAAACTACAGGTGAGTCGTCCACAACGAACTTTTGTTTGTTAAGCACCTGGCAGACAAGAGTTCAAAGTTTGCAAGAATATCATTTTCATTCGTAAAAACGTAGGCCTATGTGTTATTTTAATGTGTTTTTGTCTAGTTTGCTTAGTTAGAGGTATTAGCGCTTTCACCTTTACTACGGTGATTCAGTTTAACAAATTATCATGTTAACAGGTGACTTTTAGTAAAATGCCTCTCGTTGTCATGGTTACACCAGCTGTTGGACACTGAAAGAGGATAACTAGCTGACCCTGCGGATGCCGCTTTTTTTTTTAAAGTTTTTAACCGCAATGTCAAACTATACTCCTCAGTTGTCTTAAATGAAAAACACAATCACAGGGGCAGCTACTTTCCTATTTAATATGTATATATATATATTTAATATTTAAATATTACAGACCCATTTGGCCGGAAGTCACCAGTTAACATGGTCACATAATATAACAAAACAGTTGTCAGGTTAAAACGCTGTAACCCATTCGCTGACTATGTAAAATGGAAAGAGGTGAGTTTTGAACACAATTGGTCATTATGTTGTATTTTTTAAAATATAAAAAGTATAGTAGGGACTTTTAGTCTTTAGTCGTTGGTGTGTTCACTCTGTGACGCTTTGTGCACCGAATTTATGTTTTCAACATATTTACCAAATCAAACACAATACATATAGGCTATTAGTATGCTGGCATTTAGCTTATTTAAATTCCTTTCTATCAGATGAGTTTTTTCCCAGTTTCAGTCTTAACACAAGGAGACACCAGACACAGTGTTGGTGGTCAGAGCATCAGAGGAACGTTTAGCAGGTCAATAGTGTGTGACTGTTGAAATGCTTTCCTGTAATGCATGCAATGAAAGTACCTAGTATTTCACCTGTATAGTCAGAAACACTAAAATGTATAGAAGAGTAAATGTAAGTTTAAGAGAACTGCTGTGGGAGGAGGATACACTACCTTGGTCTGACCTAACCAGCTGCATATAAACAGAAGTGTTGTTAATATTTTTAACTAACCACTGACTGGAATAAAACAAACGAGTACACAACAGGTGTAGCTTTTATGTTTGTACTAATTCGTATCCAAAGTTGTAATTCTACAGTTTTGTGTATAAACATGTGTATGTTTGTTTTGTAGGCTCCAGAAAGTACAACAGAGTCTCAGTACCGAGAGAGACACGGGCAGGTACAGCCCTCCTGTCTATCCAGAAAGAGACCCAGGACAGCATCACCATCAGCATGGTGGGAAAGTAAGTCTGTAGCATGAAGAAGAAGATATGCCTCCTGAGAATGAAGTTTATGTAGAGCCGATTGTACCAACCTGAAACACAGATAAATAGACACGAAGTGGAGGTGGGGCTGGCAGGGTGGGGAAGCGGGGGCAATACAACTGAGAGTGGCAGCAGAAAACAAGAAAAAAAAAACTCTGGAAAATGTTTAAAAAAACACATGCAAAGGATTATGTTGAGGATCCAAGAAAGTACAACATGAACCTACAAGAAGAAGCTAGAACTCAGCTAAGAAAGTAATTATTTCGTCTAGAGCTGAGGTTATATAAAAACCTCTTAAAGTGGATATGTTCCAACAAGATTATTTCACACTGGGAAGGAAATCTGCCTGCTGCCTTTTCTATCCTTCTTTCTCACACTAAAACTGTGACAGCAGACACAGACAGGCTTTATAAAAGTGGACTTAGCAGTCAGCCATTGACCAACAACTCTCTGATTAAATTAAAAAGGATCCCAAGGAAGCAATGTTACAAGATTTAAAAGCACATGAGGATATCTTAAGTATGTGCTTTAAAATCAAGGCGATATTATCTCCTCAAATTGAGCTTGAAATGTTTTTGAAATGTATTAGGTAATGGAAATGACCAATGTCTCCGAAAGATACTATTTCACTATTTCCATAATGGATAAAGTTCAGGTAACTTTGAAAGGGTAGGTGTGAGCTACTAAATGATGTCATGCAAACAGCTTATCATTTCTTAGCTGATTGGCATTTTTTCAGTCTAATATTGACTTATTTTTCAAACTGTGTCGTTGAACACAGCAATACAGGATAAACAGCACTGGATTCATGCATGTACGCTTATAAAGAGAGTCCAAGAAAGATGTTTTTACCAGCAGGTGGATTAGCCAAAGAAGGGTTTTACTTTCCACAACAAATGAACCAGGCAATTGAAACAGGTAAACACACTAAACACAGCAGCCTCACATGAAAAATCTATTTCTCTCATATCTTCTTTGATTAGGCTGTGAGCTGCTAGTCCTGCTCAGCTTGTTTCTCTGATGTTCAATAACTACTAACTTAATGATCAGGTGGTGCTTACTGGAAACAAAGTCGAACCTGCTTCTTATAGGTAAAACATCATACTTATATAGACGCTTGTATAGGAAAAGGGTAACAAATGGTTTGATAAACAGTATGACTGACAGTTAGCTGCTGGCTTTGGTTGCATATTCAGATTTGCAGTTACAGATGAGAGTGTTTCAGTATTAATCTTATAATCTAGCTCTGAGGTTTGAAAAATAAGTTGTTGTTTTTTAAAATCAGGGCATTATAATCCCATCATTCTTACTGTTTGAAGCTGTTGTTAGCACAGTACTTTCATAGCTTTTAGAAGCAGAAGGACATTAGGGTTTTGTGGTATAAACTGTATTGATAAAGTCAGGAGCTCTCTGGTTTTTCCCAATCCGGGTACAGCTCAGAGGGCCCCCAGGCTCCAACCTCACATACCAGTACTGCTGTAGAAGGCAAGCCCAAAGGAAGGCTGGAAGTCTTCCACAAAAAACTGAGAGAGCACGATCTCGTCAGTCCTTAATGAATCGTTTCCGTTCTTCCAGTAGAGCATTAGGTCGTTCTCATTGTAGGCATCTTCAAAAAGAGGAGAGAAGGGAGGAAGAGTCATGGATGTGTTTCTTAGAGGGGACGAGGGAGTGCACAGAAATGGGACTCCCGACTCTCCTCTGAGATCAGGATCCATGCTTTATTTACCCAAAAATATATGTTAGACAGAAAGTGAAATAAAGAAAGAGCAGCTGGCCTAAGAGACAAAAAAAAAAATCTTCAAACTTTATATGGAAATTAATTCTGACTCTGTTGTTATTTGTAACCAACTTCAAGTTCAGAGAGGGATAGAATGAAAACAGAATCCCTTGTAAATCCCGCTTTGGAAATACAAAAATGTGTAATGGACAGAGATTGACCTGATTGAGGATTACCACTCAATTTTTCTATGTTAAAAGAAGATTGTGATGTGACTGTGTGTTCATGGTGTATGGTAATGGACTGTGAGTATTACAGAGTGCGTCCACTCAGTCAACCCCAAAACATATCCATCAGGGGTTTTGACTAGCAACATGGAAACTGATCAATCGTTTTTTTTAATGTCAGAACTATCACTTGCAAGGGCCTTTCAAAAACAAACCAGTGTTGCAGAAAAGGGTTATTTGTTATTTGCTTAAAATGTAGAGTGGGCACATTTTGTTAAGAGGGTTGTTACACAAGCTTAACACATCAAAATAAGTACAGCTTTGGATATCTTATCAGACACCAAACGTCCACATCGTCCCACTGTAGTTTGATACTCACAGCTCTCCAGCTCCAGAGAGCAATTCTGTGTGTCCAGAGGGAAACTGCTGAAGTCCATGGAGCAAAGTGCAGTCACGGTGATCCTGAAACACATTATAGTTAAAGAGAGGCCTACGTGAAATAAGCAGTCTTTCACAATCAACCACTGTGTTCTCATAAAAATGTAATATTTGAATTACTGCCGTTAAGAACAGCCTGCGTAGATTTACGTCAGCCAGCTAGCTAGTCACATGTTCACTGGATTTATTTTAAACAGTAAAGATGTATATGATTATATAAACTGATTCGTTCATTTAATTACTGTGTCAGTGCATGATCGGCTCACTGATTGCAGCAAGCTGTTAGCGGTGACGCCATATTGTCAACAGCTGTGGCTGAAATGGATATAATGAGTCTGAAAGCCAACTGGCCATACTCTCATGTGACTTTTAGGCTTTGCTCACTAAACCATACATTAATAGTCTAGTGGATGTTTTATGTCTTCATTTAAGTTATTTTCAAAAGGTGATATTTTAATATATGAATATTGACTCATTCAATTTGATTTATAGCACGTGTAAGATTAGAGAAGAAAAGTAGATATGACCGAACCTCTTCCTAAAAAGGCATAGTTTAATTGTTATGCAATACAATGATCTTTAGATTTTTTGAATAGTTTGAATGGAATTTGCTGCCATAGCTACACTTTGTCTCGACTGTCCTCAAATATACTGCTGAATAGTTCTTCTTGCACTTTGTGTTTGGGTCATTTTAGTCCCTCTTGGAAAACCTAACTGGCAGATTCTACAGGACTCGTTTTTTTCCGTCATAAAAACATGGTCTTGGACTTGGAGGTGCTGACCCTCATCCTAGCTGCTTCGCACTCAGCTGCAAACCCCAATGCCTGCTGTTGGTCCCAGAATGAGGAAGCTAACAAAACCTCATCATCTGCAAAAAGCAGAGATGAGATTTTGAGGCCCCCAAAGTGGAAACCCTCTTCCCCCCAGGTGCACCCTGAGATCCTGTTCTTGAAAATCACAAACAGAATTGGTGACAAGGGGCAACCCTGGCCATGCCAACACGCACCGGGAAGGTGTCTGACTTTATGCCGAGGATGCTGAACACAGCCCCTACTTTGCTCATACAGAGATGACTTGTAGCAGCGGCCTAGGACCCAATCTTCCGCAGCAACCCCAACATGACCTCCCAAGGGACAAGGTCATAAGCCTTCTTCAAGTCCAAAAAACACATGTAGACTGAATGAGCAAACTCCCAAGTGATGTGAGTGATGCACTTTGTCCTTGTGAGAAGTCTGGCTGCAGAGTTCTACAATCCGAAGTTGTGCTATTGCTTTTGTATTGAAGCATTTTAAAAGGGCGTTACAGTAATCCAGCCGTGAAATAAAAACATAAATATATTTTTTTTGTGTTGTTAAAATATAAAATTGAACTAATCTTTGATGTGTTCCAAGTTGATAAAAGCAAGATTGAACCAGTGTTTCTTAGTGTTTTGATTAAAACTTAGGTCACAATCAAATACAACCCCCAAGTTTCTAACTTGGCTTTAACATTTGGGAATAGTGGGCTGAGCAGTAGCTGGATCTGGTTCTGAATATTCTCAAGGCCAATAAGAAGCATTTGTGTTTTGTCAGTTGTGTGACATAGCCAGTTTATTGTATACGGTGGGTTTTATGGATGTAATGAAATTTTATGATGACAGATGATATGATGATGTAAAGGTAAAACAAAATTGGACAAGAATTGAGCCTTATGGTACTGCATGACTTCTATGCAGTAGAAGGGATGAATGAATTGACTGAGACAAAAAATTGCCAGTTTCAAAGATAGGAAGTAAACCAGTCAAGGCTATTAAAGTGGCTTGATCGATGCTGGCGAAAGCTACGCTAAATGGTAAATGGACTTGAACTTGTTTAGTCCTTTTTTTGTCTTCTGAACACTCAAACACTCAGCAACACTCAAAGCTGGGGATTTAACCCCCAACCTTTCGGTTGAGAGACAACTGACTCTACCGCTGGGCCACAGCTGCTTCTACTTCCCAGTTTAATGTCTGTCCCTTTTGCGTACTGTAGATGCAGAACTTGACATACAAAAAAAGGCTTCTAACAATGCATTTTGTTTTGGAATATTTAAAAAAAAAAAAGCTGTATTTAAATCAGTCATAATAGGAATATGTTGTATGCCCAAAAAACCTCTTCAAAACACTGGATGGACTGAGTTGATCTGCCATTTTCCTGTAATTTTGCCAATGTGGTTGCAGCTGCTGTTCATTCCTACTTTGATGATCGTGATCACTTTATGAGTCGTGACAGAAGAGGCACTTTTTTTACCTGACACTATAGAGGATATTTCCATCTGGAAAAACCCTCAGCATGATGTTCTCCATGGTTGTATCGTGGATAAAAGAACGCTTAGAGTGAACAAAGAACACGTCAGGAACCCAAATCTTCTTTACAAGACGTGCATCAAAAGTTCGACTCTTGTTGCTGCTTGAGGGGAAGGCCAGGCGATCGTCCTGCCAGTAATGCCTCAGGTACAATGTCATGGTGAAGTCCTGAAAAAAATCACATACATCAAAAAAAGTTACGTTCAAAGCCAATGCTTAAAAAGAGAAACCAAATACTGGTTAGCGTACTACAGAGGTTCTAGAGATGCACGAACCATGTTAACTTCCGATATGCTGTCTATGCTCTCTACCTGGACGTCGATGCCCACAGGAATAGCTGAACCTGCAAAAAGGTCAAACGTGAAATGGATTATAAACAGTGTCATATTTTCCATGAATCATCTGTGTGCACAACTGGCAGAGATTATCCAGTATATGTGTAAATCCTACTACTGATAAGATATAAGCCACGTCTGAAATGATGACCCAGACATCATGCTGGTTCTAAAACATGATTCAGCTTAAAGTTGCATTCAGCTGAATTCCTCGTAATAACATCACCTCACTGGTTCCTATGTAATCCAACAGGTAATCCAATGGGCCAGACACAACAAATACATACATTTTATTTCTGGATGAGCTATAACTAATTAAATAGTATTATGAGATTCCTTACAGGACACTAAAACTGAAATTTACAAGAAAACGAAAAATGCATTTGGAAGAGCGGACCATAGCCTAGGCCAATAGTCCACGGCTTTTGTGTATTTTCACTCTGCCATACACATAGAGGTGATACAATGTGTTCATTATTATTGACCGTGGTCTGGATCCCTGCCGAGGTTTAATGGGTTTAATGGGTTGACCTATGTTTCACCTCTACATCAAGTTGAATGGAAATCGGTACCTTTTAAGTTATCTTTCTGACATATTAGTATTGTTCTTTAGTTCATGAAGCAGTTAAAAAAAAAATAGTTTAAGCTCTTACAACGGCCTACATGGATTCACACTTTTTAAATTTTACTTTTTGAAAACATGCAGATGAACAATTAAAAGTTCATTAGTTCATTTTCTTTAACCACCATTTTCATTGTAAATCTGAAGCATATCAAGCTTACAGATACAAAAGCTCACTGACACCAACAGTCTCATCAATTGGCATTTAAGAACACATCACACAAAGCAATACAAAGCAAACCTTGGGGGGAAATCTGCACAAGAGGTCAGAGCCAGGAAACCAACCAGGTTTTTTTCTTTCTGGTGAACGTTTATGGGACCTTATCTTGAATATGGTGAAATCCACCAGTCTCTTATCAAACATTTTATTCCACCATATCAGCCTTATTAAATATTGAAACAGCATCAATGTAATGTGTTGTTTCTCTTTTTGAACAGGTTTGTGACTGTTACTAAAATTCATCTATGTCCTCTGTACATTTATCTTTTAGTACTTTCTGCTTGCCATTTTGACTGATTTAGATCTTCAGCCTCACAGATATTCTTTATCTTCATCAAGCATGTGATGTCAAATTTTTGTAATCCATAGGCTTTTCTGGTAAGATAAGCAAAGAACAGTTATACGCAAATCATGCAGGTGCAGGGCAGTGCAAAAACCACAGACTGAGGAAGAAGGAAAAAGAGCGGGCATATCTTCTTCCTCAAGTTACAAAGAACCCTCACCAATTATGCACACTGAAATTATGCATATAAACATGTTCCAGCAGTTTTATTTAAAAAAAAAAAAAAAAAAAAAAAAAAAAGCCTTCTGCCAATTTACAAAGCAACTTTTAAAACAACTGGCTCAAAATCAAGAATTTTAGGTCGAAACAATCTAAAAAAACAAGTGCAAAATTCAAGATGGATTGGTGAAGTGCCATCATATTTTACAATATAAGCCTCCAATGTGGTGTTTAGTATGGAATGGTCTTCATGTCATTTTCCAATTGCACAATACTGCCAACGTATGATGTGTACTGTAAACTGTACTGATGTCTCTGTGCCATTATCTAATGAATAAGCTGTGGAAAGCGTTCGTCTATGATAACAATGGAGTAGTCAAGGGGGAGGGATTATATCGGGCAGCCAGGGTCCTGAAAGTAAAGTCCTGTTCATTTTTATCCAGCGTTAGGTCACAGGCTTTTTGAACTCCTAACAGGCACGAAACCCTCCGGAGCCAACAAAGGGCGTCTGTTCAAACTATCGGATTAATTGATCTGATGCATGAAAAAAATAAAGAATCTTACAAAACACTCAATCCCATCATACAATCATACAGTCTTTGCTGATTTTGTGAGATCTAATAATTTGCGAGGAAAACATAATGACGTAAGAGTTGACACAGTGACACAGGCGGTACAGGAAAGCTGTTCCAGTCAGTTACTCTCAGGAGACCTTCACATTGTGTGCCAAAAGAGGCTTTATGTGAAGGGTTTGTATGACAATGCATATTTTCTTTGTCACGTTGCAATATTCCCCATTTGGAAACTGAATGTCATGTCCTTGTCACCACTCCCTGCAGGCCTGTTCACAAAAAGACTGTTACATTCTCCAACCCCTGAGATGAGGATCTCGCCCTTTACCCCTTCTGACAATGAATAAGCCATTTAAGTTATTTTAAATTGAAAGGGATTGTGAACATGGTGTTCAAGAGGTTTCAAAAGCTACGATTATTTTAACAAAAGTGTTTTTTTGTACAGCTCACACATGAATTACAAGCACACACAAATACACAATCCAGATGTGTGCTTTGGGACACAGGGAAATATGTTTTGAATATTCTCTAACATGATTTTTTTTTTTTTCCATTTCCATCCACAGAACCACTAGACACGCATATCAGATTATTTTATCTGTACTGTCACTGTCTGCAATCATCATCTCACATGGCAGACAATCTAGGTCACTCAGGTTTTTTGGGAGGCGTACGTAATACCAAAGACAGCACAGTAACCTACATTAACCTCACTGAGTTGCCAGGAAACATATGGTTACGAAAAATGACAGGAACTGTCGAATTCAACAAAACGATCAGGTGTGCGTCTTACCTCCGAAGCCGGGCCGCATTGCAAAGTCATGGTCCTCAATCCGAAGCAGCTGCTCCGATTTAATTAGCATAGATTTGGTGCTGTCCAGCTTTTTCATCTTAAGGTCCACCCGCCTGAGAACCAAAAAGATCAAATCACAGCTTGTGTGGAAACTCTCTCTCTCTCTCTCTCTCTCTGTCACCATCTTACCCTTTCTAAGACACTCGAAGCAGAGCAGGCATCTGGTTGAGGGAGTCTGTGATGGTTCATTTTACTTGAGCAGTCTGATTACAACTGAAGGCCTTGGTTTGTAGACAACAAAAGTTCTCTTCAGGATATCGACACTGATCTGACGCAGTTCTAACTGGGTCAGAGATATTTAGCGACCTCTGTTGTATCTCTATTATGAGTTGACCTTGACCAGGTAATATATTTTTTGCACTAAATACTCCATCTGTCTTCACATTCTATAAGTCCTCATATCTGAACCAAAAAAGGAGCCTGAATATCAGTTTATCTCTGAAGACAACGCTTTTCCAATCAATTGCACAGATCTCCTGTCACCTCACATGATCACCTTGAACCCACTCTTACCTTTCGAACAATATTTCTGATGACATTGTAAAGTAGCAAAACGTAAAAGCATCCACAAAATACTGTATCCAGCTGTTAAAAAAAAAAGGGAATTTGCAGAGAAATCCCACTTTGGCTCACCCTCTGTGCTTTTGTTTGGTATTCTCTCCGACGTACTGCTCCTTGTGTCTCCTCTTGTTGGGGTAGTGGCTGCCGTTGAGGTGGGTGACGGGCCACATCCAGGCCAAGCACATCAGTCTGAAGGCCAGGAGGGCCACTCTCATGGTTAAGCTGGGGCTGGAAAGACGCAAGGAACGCAGACGTTCCTCACGCCTCGTTAGTGTCTCGTCCAGGGAATGCCACAGCTGCCCCTGTCCTCTACTGGCACGTCCATGTCCCAGCAGCGCTCATTCTGCCCTGCCACACACACACCCCGCTACGTCTGCATTATCCTGCTCTTTCATCTTCTGTGACATGGTGAACATTAGTCAAGATATATCCGGTGCTTAGCTCCAATGCACAGGCATCCCCGTGGTTTGCTTGTCTCTGTGTCATCCCTCTGCTTACGTCTCCTGACACAACATGTTGCCCTGACTCTACCAATGTCCCCTCCCTCTGATTTAAAACCAAATATCAATTTATTCCTATAATGACAAAGGAATACCATTAATTCCTCTCTAATCTTCTTAGCTGTGGTTGGTGAAATCTTTCAGTAACCTACAAACTGCATGCAGCAGAGGGAGGGGAGGGGGGATAATACAACCAGCGGTTTCATCATCATTCTGACCAGATAAAAATAAAAAGCCTGTAGCCTACTTTTCACGCAGTGCAGGATTTTCCCTCGAATTGCGCTGCGCTCTGTGACGGGTGGGAGGACGCATATGATCATATAATTGAGAGGAGACAGATGAAAGCATATGTTTGGGCCACATCTGCAAATGCTGCACTTGTGACTCTTGAGCACGCAGAGATGATGTTGAACTGAGGCTTTGAACTCTTTTCCCCTCATCAGGTGTTACAAAAGAGGAACAAGAACACAGTCTGAAAATAAAACGTCACTCACATCATGTCATCAGCTTTTGAGAGGTTTAATGACATTCACAAAAACTGAACAGTCCTTTCTGAGCCAGCATTGTGGTTAAGCTCTTATTTTAGGCCAAAGGATCCCCTGCATTACAAGAAATGCTTCATAATAGAGTGAAATCTAGTTCAAACCCAAAATACACCATCATCTAAAATAATGTCATACAGTTGAATCATTTCCTTTCTGAAACGAAATGAACACGATTTATGAGTTATTGTGATGGGTAATGATTTCCTTTAAATTTGTATCCCTGCCAAACTGAGTTTATAAATGTCTCCGTTTGTTAGCCCCTCATTGTGTAACATTACCACAGCTTGATCCTGTCCAATACAGCTAGCTGTCCTCTGCTGTCAGACAGACCTCTCAGCTATTGACAAGAGACAGAAGAATGCAATTTGTCCTGTTTCCCCAGCCAAACTTTTCAGGTGATGGAATCAAAAAACAGGCCACTTATGCAAGAGTGTTGGTCTCTAAACATTTGCAAGTGATGACTTGTTAAATTGTAACCTTTAGATAAATGGAAGGCAGATAAACACTGATCCCCACTGAGGCCACTGGTTACTTTAAGTGACCTACTGTATGTTTGAAGATGACCACATCTTTTTAAGCGTTATTAAGATTTTTTAAAGTGGTTTTGGATATTTTGATTTCACTTTCAAATCCTAATAGAGCTTTCCTTATATTTGCAGTATTTCCTTCACACAAGAAACAATAAGAAAAAGCAATACATATTAGAATTTATATTTTCTTTGTATTTCGGTACACATACTGATAAATGCATGCATTTCACTGCAGTAAGACTTAATCAGCAATAGAGTGCACATACAGTATACTGCAGATCTGCATACTGTGTACTATTTCACATTCAACATGCTATGATTTAATGCACTATGATAATGTGATCGATTGCACAATAGCCCTACAATAATACATCCCATATAGCTGTAATGACAAGAAAAATTATGTTAATGAGAAATGGAAATCTTTAATTTTTCCAGTATCAACAGTCAATAAGAATAAAATACAAAAGGCTTATCGAGCGAAGCATGCTACATATTGACAACATGTTAAATGAGGTAAGAAAAGAAAAGCTGCAGCTAAAAAAGAGGAACTTGTTCAGAATCAATGATGAAATCAAAACATGGACAGCATGGCTCTACTTTAGTGGCATGGTCCTTTAATCTGGGATTAAAGTTGATTGAGGGCAGACATGAGCAGTGCCATCTTAAAGAATCACGCACGTGGAGCTCGCTTCTCTTGTACATGTGACCCCACAGCTGCTGGACAGCAGGCGGCCTTTCACGTGTGGATGTAACATCTCATCTGTGCCCTCTAGAGGTCATCCTCTGTTAAAACAAAATGTAAACAATGAGCTGCACTTTTCTAAATACAACAGACTATTTGATGCAGATTACCTTTACTCTAATATCCCACTGCGAGCATTATCATAGATACATTATTAAATTACTGATAAGATTTTAAATGGCCAAGTGTTTTCTTTTGCATTAATGACATATTTTTACTTAATGGAAATCAATATACTGTTGAACTAACAGGAAAACTTCATGTATACACAATCCTGCTGAATCCTTCCTGTTCTCATCAAGGCTACTAAGCATTCTGGTTTTTGGTGACAGTTACCTTAAATCTGAGTTTATAGATTCTGCTCCCAAACTTTGGATGGAGTTTATTTTTTTAATTTTTTTTTTAACCCCTTATTGTTTCAAAATGTATGAACTGATTTCTCACTCAGCCTCACCCACGACCAAATGTCTGTATCACCTAGTGTTGCCCTTCTATGCATTCTATAATTAAAACTGTCAAATACATGGAGGTGAGGATTTTATTATCACTTTTCACACAGTTAGATTCCCCTTTTTCACACAGTGAAAGCTGTCTGTATCATACAAAATAGGATGTTCAAATAAGAGCCAGTGAGAATACTGAAGGTTCATTTGCATTGCTGGAATTACTTTAGTTTCATTTTGTACTCCAGGAATTACTCCCTGCAACAACGGCTAAAAGAAATGTGCAACCCATGCACAAAACCGTTTTATGATAATAAATAAAGCATTAAAAAGCTGTTGTCTCTGAGAAGGATACAGATTGATCAACTGGATGAGGGAAAATGAACGGACCAGCAGTTGGGTCAAAGTTACCCAGCCAGTTGTTTTGGTGGGAATGGACCCTTTACATCCCCTTTGACCAAGCAACAACAACCCAGCATTATTTTTTTTACAGCCCACCAAACAACCCAGTGTTTGTTTTGGGTGTAAGTGATCCAGCTGACATTTTCCACCATTTAAATGTGTTAATCCATCAGTGGAAAAATGTCAATTGTCTTTAAAGCAGGAGTTGATCATGACACGTGTTTTATTTCCATTCATTTTACACGTTAGATTAACTGTTGAGCTGAGCTGCATGTTGACAAAGAATGTCTTTGCACAGTTTTTAAGAAGTTACTCAGTATGGAAAAATTGTGTACTACCAATTAAAAAAAACTAACTTTGCAGAATGAATGAAAGCTACATCCTTAGAAAGTCTTTTGTGTCCTTGAATTCAACATCTTTGATTCAGACTGATATCTCACGTTCTGATTCTGTGGATATACAAAGATCGTTAGGTGTTACATTTGTTTTTGAAAGTATTTTAGTGAAGGTGTTCGGCGTGAAGTGAAGCATTCACAGGGCTGCTGGTTAAACTTTTACCTGCCTGGTTAATTATGATTATGCTGCTTATATTCTTGGCGAATTCTCCATTGACAAACTCAAAAGGTAGTATGGTTTCAACTCTTTAAAATCACAGAGGGAGGAAAAGTTAATAGAAAAGAGAAACATATAAATAAGGTTTCTTTTTCTATAAGTATTGATCAACTACTTATAAGTTTGCAAAATTCAAAGTATTTAAATATAAGATTGAGTTTATAGCAAGTTTATTCTTCTAATGCAAGGAGACTATTTTAAAGTTCTGGCAAAGACTACAAATCTGTTCGATTAGCTGATAGAGTCAGGCTTTGTCCCTCTTAAAAAAAAACAGTTTTTGAGTAACCCAAATAATGATGTATAACTTTGCAGACATTAGACACGATCACATTTATTTATTAAAATCCTCAGAAAACACATTGTGTGAGAACCTTGATTTTCAACGTTGCAGAGGTAGAGACATTAAAAGAGCAGATTTGCGTAGATACTTTCAAGCAAGTGCAAAGAAAAGCAGGAAAATGCATGAAATTTAGAAGCTAAGGGGCTTGAATTAACAATGACAGATACAATTCAAAAAACTAAAATAGTGAAAATACAATCAGTAAGACCAATGTAATATTACTGTAAGAGCAAACGTCTTACATTAGTTGCTGATCTCGTCATTGCTAAAGCAGGCAGGCCTGTTTTTGGGTGAAGAAGAAAATTATGTGTCCAACAGCCTTCTCCAGTAACAGTCTGTAAAGGTCAGCTATAGAGGAGTTCTGCATGGATCGAGTTTAACTATAAAAGTCAGAGCTCTGTTTCACCTCCAATTGAAGAGCAGCAATAATGATTCAGCTCTGTAGTTTGTGTAATGTGTTGTCATTGGTGCCCTTCAACATAGTTCAAAGTGTTACAGACCACATTTAGTTTTCAGTATCACTTCAGGAGCAGTCACCACAGCTGCACTGAGTCCTTGGTGCTGCTCAACTGTGAAAGCTGCAAACATCTGGGGAAAAATAAGTGAGCACACATCAGGGGTGAAATGTGACTGTTAAAAAAAAGTAGGGCACCAAACAGCCCAGATGTTAATGATTGGAACTGTTCACTGCAGTGATATGCTCATTTGCGCCTTTAAATTATTATTTGCACACCACATTGCATTCTGTGATTTAAATAATCTTTTTTTTAAACTGATTTTAATATTTTTTTACATCTTAAATTATTTATATTTACAGCTTTGGCCAAGGTAATTTCATAGCACTTTAGTTGTATTTTAATTTGCATATGTGCATCATATCATGTCTATCACAGAACGCAGAAATAAGCTTTGAGTATCAGGCTGATGTGAACTATTAGATTAAAAGAAGTTTAAAAAAAAAACAGCATAATGGGAAATTTGAAGAAAAGATAAGGACATCGATGCTCTCTTTTAAAGTAATTCTCATGTGGAGAATAAACTTTAAAATAAAATCTGCAACATTAATTTGAGTGTCTTGAAATATAGCTTTCTTGGACT